GAGGCGGGTGGATCACGAGGTCAAGAGATCGAGACCATCCTGGTCAACATGGTGAAACCCCGTCTCTACTAAAAATACAAAAAAAATTAGCCGGGGCGTGCCTGTAATCCCAGCTACTCAGGAGGCTGAGGTAGGAGAATTGCCTGAACCCGGGAGGTGGAGGTTGCGGTGAGCTGAGATCGTGCCATTGCACTTCAGCCTGGGTAACAAGAGTGAAACTCCGTCTCAAAAAAAAAAAAAGAAAAGAAAAGAAAGAGGTTTAATGGACTCAGAGTTCTACATAGCTGGGGAGGCCTCATAGTCATGGTGGAAGGTGAAAGGCACGTCTCATGCCAGCAGACAAGAAAAGGGAAAAAGAGCCAAGTGAAACAGGTTTCCCCTTATAAAGCCATCGAATCTTATGAGACTTATTCGCTACCACAAGAATAGTATGGGGGAACCGCCCCATGATTCATTCAGTTATCTCCCACTAGGTCCCTCCCACAATACTTAGGATTTATGGGAGCTACAGTTCAAGATGAGATTTGGGTAGGGACACAGCCAAAACCATTTCACAGTGTATTGAAGAAGCAAGTTTAATAATGTTATTTATGAGCCATTGACTAAAGCGCAGTGGAAAAGGAGATGGTTTGAGATGAGAATAGAAATGGGAGGCAGGGTAAATCATGCTGCAGGAACAGGTAAGCACGACAAAGTTTTGAATGTTATTATAAAGGCAGTGGGTATCCACAGAAGGATTTAAAGAGAGGAGTTTTTGATATATGCTTAAGGATATTAAAGAAAAAATAGTTTCCTTTTGTTATCACAGTAGGTTATTTACATTTCAGCTGTATAAATGTCTGCCAATTCCTTTAGACATGAAATAGTAATATAACTCACAGTTATATTGTTTGGCACTTCCTATGTGCCAGGCACTGCTCTGAGCAATTTATATGTGAATTAACTTCTGTGGTGCTCACAACATCCCTGGGAGATAGGCTAGATTTGCTTACTGGCCCCAATCTAAAATGACTTAAATTTCTTGTTATTTCAAATACATAGGAATTTACTACAAGTTAAGCTTTATAAGAGTAGGAAAAGGCTGGGTGCGATGGCTCATGCCCATAATCCCAACCCTTTAGGAGGCCGAGGTGGGTGGATCATGAGGTCGAGATCGATCCCATCCTGGCCAATATGGTGAAACTCTGCCTCTACTAAAAATACAAAAATTAGCTGGGCGTGGTGGCACACGCCTGTAGTCCCAGCTACTCAGGAGACTGAGGCAAGAGAATTTCAGTGAACCAAGATTGCGCCACTACACTCCAGCCTAGCAACAAAGTGAGACTCCATATCAAAAAAAAAAAAAAAAAGAGTAGGAATCATGATTTTCTTATTAACTGAGATTTGAATAGAAAATATTTCAATGTTCCCACAGTTTTCAGAAGTGGAAGGTGGTAATAGATACATTTTAGTACATGATAGTAATTATAATAATATAAGCAAGCGTCATTGTAGTACTTAATATGTGTCAGGCACTGTTCTAAGTGTTTAAGCATAGTAACACGTTTGGTCTTTATAAAACTATTGTCCCCATTTTATAAGTGAGGAAATTGAACCACATAGAAGTTAAGTAATTTGCTTAAAGCCACATAGTTAGTAAATGGCAAAACCAGAAGTCAAGCCTCCGCCCGAGTTTTTTTCCTTACAGTTAAGTTTTATTGCCTCTAATGTAGATTTTAAGGGAATAGTGTGTTATTTATATTCATAGTGGCTGCTAGATTGAAAAACTTAGCTAGAAAGGCACCCTTGATGAATTATGTAGTTCATTGTGTTTGTTTTTGTTTTTGTTTTGCCTCAGGTGTTCCAGCGCATCATCCAGCAAAAACATGTCCCAGAGCCAAGTGTTGAAAGGGGTTAATTTTGAATCAAGTGAGGTAACTAAGTAATATTGTTAAATTTTAACTAATTTATAACTTTATAATATTTACATAGACACTGCTAGCTGGTTGCTGAACTTTTTTATTTGATAAATAATTTCATCTTTTAGGTTCAGGGGGTACATGTGCAAGTTTATAATGTGGGAATTTCATGATGGTTTGGTACAGGCCCCGTCACCCAGGTAGTGAGCATAGTACACAGCAGGCAGTTTTCCAACCCACGTCCTACTCTAAGCCTCCAACCTCTAGTAGTCCCCAGTGTCTGTTGTTCCCTTCTTTATGTCCACGTATACTCAGTGTTTAGCTCCCACCTGTAAGTGAGGACATGTGGTATTTGGTTTTCTCTTCCTATGTTAATTTGCTTAGGATAGTGGCCTCCAGCTGCAAAGGACAAAATTTTGATGTTATTTTTTTTTTTATTTTTTTTATTGCTGTCTAGTGTTCCATGTTTTATATGTACCACCATTTACTTCATGGAATCCATGTTGATGGGCACTTAGGTTGATTCCATGTCTTTGTTTTTGTGAATAAGTGCTGCAGTGAACATATGAGTGCATGTGTCTTTTTGGTAGAATAATTTGTTTTCCTTTGGTTATATAACCAGTAATGAGATTACTGGATGGAATGGTAGCTCTGTTTTAAGTTCTTTGAGAAATTTCCAAATGGCTTATATTGGCTGAACTAATTTACATTCCAACAATGTATAAGCATTCCCTTTTTTTGACAACTTCTTTAGCATCCGTTGTTTTTTGACTTTGTAGTAATAGCCATTCTCACTGGTGTGAATTGGTATCATTGTGGTTTTGATTTACATTTCTATGATGATTAGTGATGATAAGCACTTTTTCTTGTTTGTTGGCTGCTTTGTATGTCTTATTCTTTGTAGTGTGCCTGTTCATGTCCTTTGCCCATTTTCTAATGAAGTTATTTGAATTTCCTTATTGATTTATTTCCATTCCTTATCGATTTTAGATATTAGACCTTTGTTGGATGTATATTTTATGAATATTTTCTCCCATTATATAGTTTTTTTGTTTACTCTGTTGATAGTTTATTTTACTCTGTAGAAGCTCTTTAGTTTAATGAGGTTCTACTTGTTCATTTGTGTTTTTGTTGCCGTTGCTTTTGGGGACTTAGCCAAAAATTCTTTGCCAAGACCAATGTTGAGAAGGCTATTTTCTAGGTTTTCTTCTAGGGTTGTTATAGTTTGAGACCTTACTATTGAATCTTTAATTCATCTTGAGTTAATTTTTGTATATGGTGGAAGATAGGGATCCATTTTCTCCTGCACATTGCTAGCCAGTTGTCCTAGCACCATTTATTGAATAGGGAGTCTTTTTCCCAATGCTTATTTTTGTCAGCATTGTCAAAGATCAGATGGCTATAGATGCACAGCTTTATTACTGAGCTCTATGTTCTGTTCTGTTGGTCTCTGTGTACCAGTACAATACTGGTTTTGGTTACTATAACCTTATAATATAGTTCAAAGTTGGGTAGTGTTATACTTCTGGCCTTGTTCTTTTTGCTTGGGGTTGCTTTGTCTATTTGGCTTCTTCTTTGGTTTCATGTGAATTTTAGAATAGTTTTTTTCTAATTCTGTGAAAAATGACATTGGAAGTTTGATAGGAATGGCATTGAATCTGTAGATAGCCCTTGGCAGTATGGCCATTTTAATGACATTGATGCTTCCAATTCCTAAGCATGGAATGTTTTTGCATTTGTTTCTGTTGTCTGTGATTTCTTTCAGCAGTGTTTTATAGTTATCCTTGTAGAGATCTTTCACCTCCTTGGTTAGCTATATAGCTATGTATTTGATTTTCTTTATGGCTATTGTAAATGGGATTGTGTTCTTGATTTGACTTTCAGCTTGAACATTGTTGCTGTATAAAAATGCTACTGATTTTTGTACACTGATTTCTTTTTTTTAATTCTGAAACTTTGCTGAAGTAGTTTATCAGTTCTAGGAGCCTTTTGGCAGAGTCTCTAGGGTTTTCCAGGAGTATAGAATCATATCGCCAGCAAAGAGAGATAGTTTGACTTCTTCTTTTCCTGTTTGGATGCCTTTTCTTTCTTTCTCTTGCCTGATTGCTCTGGCTAGGACTTCCAGTACTATATTGAATAGGAGTGGTGAGATTGGGCATTCTTGTCTTTTTCCAGTTATCAGGGAGAATGGTTCTAGCTGTTGCTTGTTCAGCATGATGTTAGCTGTGGATTTTCATAGATAGCTCTTATTATTTTGAGGTATGTTCCTTCAGTGCCTAGTCTGTTCAAGGTTTTTGTCATGAAGGGGTGTTGGATTTTATTTTGTTCAGGTGATCATATCGTTTTTGTTTTTAATTCTGCTTATGTCATCAGTCACATTTTTGCATTTGCATATGTTGAATCAGTCTTGTATCCCAAGAATAAAGCATACTTGATCATGGCATATTAACTTTTTGATGTGCTGCTAGATTTGGTTTACTAGTTTCTTGAGGATTTTTGCATCTATGTTCATCAGGGATATTGGCCTGACATTTCTTTGTTTTGTTGTCTCTGCCAGATTTTGGTATCAGGCTGATGCTGGCTTTGTAGAATAAGTTAGGGAGGAGCCTCCCTCCTTGATTTTTTTGGAATAATTTCTGCAGGATTGGTACCATTCTTTGTATGTCTGATAGAATATGGCTGTGAATCCATGTAGTCCAGGGCTGTTTTGGTTGGTCAGTTTTTTACTGATTAATTTCGTAATTTATTATTGGTCTGATCAGGTTTTCACTTTCTTCCTGGTTCAGTCTTGGCAGGTTGTATGTTTTGAGGGATTTATCCATTTCCTCTAGATGTTCTAATGTGTGTGAATAGTTGTTCATAGTAGTCTTTGAAGATCTTTTGTATTTCTGTGGGGTCAGTTGTAATGTCATCTTTGTCATTTCTGATTGTATTTATTTGGATCTTCTCTTTTTTTCCTTTGTTTAGCTAGCCGTCTATCAATTTTGTTTGTTCTTTTAAAGAACCAATTCTCGGTTTCATTGATCTTTTGTATGGATTTTTGCATCTTAGTTTTGTTCAGTTCTTCTCTCATTTTAGTTATTTCTTTTCTTCTGCTAGTTTTGGGGTTGGTTTGTTCTTTTATTTCTAGTTCCTCTAGGTACAATGTTAAATTGTTAATTTGAGTTCCTTTTAATGAAGGTGTTTAGTTCTATAAGCTTTCCTTTCAACAGTTTTAGCTGTATTCCTAAGATTTTGTAAGTTGTGATTCTATTTTCATTTTCACTAATGAAATTAATTTCGTTGACGAATGAATGAATTTTTACTAATTCTGAAGAATTTTTTTATTCTACCTTAATTGTATTATTGACCCAGGAGTTATCCAGGAGTAAATTGTATAATTTCCATGTATTTGTGTAGTTTTGAGAGATCTTCTTAATATTGATATCTCTTTTCATTGCACTGTAGTCCAAGAGTATATTTGGTATGATTTTGATTTTTTTGAATTTATTGAGACTTAATTTATGACTGAACATGTGGTCGATCTTAGAATATGTTCTGTTTTCAGATGGGAAGAATTTGTATCCTGCAGTTATTGGATGAAGTATTTTGTAGATGTCAGTTAGGTCAAATTGATCAGGTTTAAGTCCTGAATTTGTTAGTTTTCTGCCTAGATGATCTTTCTAACACTGTCAGTGGGGTGATGAAGCCTCCCACTATTATTCTGTTGCTGTCTGAGTCTTTCTGTAGGTTAAGAAGAACTTGATTTATGGATCTGGGCGTGTATATATTTGGGATAGTTAGATCTTCTCGTTGAATCAAATCCTTTATCATTATGTAATGCCCTTCTTTGTTCTCTTTTACTGTTGCTTGGTTTAAAGTCTGTTATATCTGATAAAAGAATTGCGACTTCTGCTCTTTTTTGTTTTTCATTTGCATGTTAAATCTTTCTCCATCCCTTTACTTTGAGCCTGTGTGTGTCATTACATGTGAAATGTATCTCTTGACAACAGCAGTCAGGTCTTGTCCTTTTATCCAGCTTGCCGCTGTATTCCTTTTAAGTGGGGGCATTTAGACAATTTATATTCAGGGTTAGTATTGATATGATATTTCAGTCCTACGATCGTATTGTTAGCTGGTTGTTTTGTAGACTTGATTATGTAGTTGCTTTATAGTGTCTCTAAGCTATGTGCTTAAATATGTCTTTGTGGTAGTAGGTGGTGTTTTTTTGTTTACATGTTTAGCACCTAATAAGGACCTCTTCTAAGACTGATCTAGTTGTAAGGAATTGCTCAGCATTTGCTTGCCTGTGGGATATTTTATTTCTCCTTTGCTTATGAAGCTTAGTTTGGTTGGATATGAAATTCTTGGTTGGAAGTTCATTTTTCTTTAAGGATGCTGAAAATAGGTCCCCAGTCTCTTCTGGCTTGTAAGGTTTCTGCTGAGATGTCCACTGATAGTCTGATGAGGTTCCCTTTGTAGGTGAACTGACCCTTCTCTCTAGCTGCTTTTAAGATCTTTTTTTTCCTGTTGACTGTGTGCCTTGGGGATAGTCATCTTCTATAATGTCTCGCAGGAATTCTCTGTATTTCTTAATTTACATGTCAACTTTTCTAACAAGATGGGAGAAATTTTCTGGACTAAATCCTCAAATATGTTTTTCATATTGCTTATTCTCTCTCCTCTCTTAAAAATGTCAATGAATCATAGGTTTTGCCTCTTTACATAGTCTCATATTTCTCAGAGGTTTTTTTCATTCTTCTTCATTCGTTTTTCTTTATTTTTGTCTAAGTTGATTTGAAGAACTGGTTTTTGAGCTCTCACATTCTTTCCTCAGCTTGGTCTGTTCTGCTGTTAATACTTTCAGTTGTACTATGAAATTCTTGTAGTGAATTTTTCAATTCTGGAAGTTCAGTATGGTTTACTCTTCAAATGGGTATTTTATCTTTCAGCCCTTGGATTGTTTTACTGGATTCATTGGATTAGGTTTTAGCTTTCTCCTGAATCTTGATGAGCTTCCTTGCCATCCAGATTCTGAATTCTATGTCTGTCATTTCAGTAATTTCAGTCTGGTTAAGGACTATTGTTAGGGAGCTAGTGGGCTCATTTGGAGGTAAGGGGACATTGTGGCTTTTTGAATTGCCAGAATTCTTACACTGATTCTTTCTACATATCTCGTGTAGATTCTTTCTCATGTTACAACTGCAGTGTAAGTTGAGTATAGTCAGTTGGCCTTGTTTCTGGGTGCTTTCAGAGGGCCACAGCTCTATATAGATCTTTATTGTGGCTAGATTCTTGCCCTGCGTGTCACAGAGATGTATATTGGCAGAATTTTTTTGGTGTTGTAATTTTGGCTGTGATCCAGTAGCTAGCATTTAACATTAATGTCAAGCAGATAGGCCCTTACTCAGCTGCATAGTTCTTTTGTATTTCTGTGTGTTCGCAGCCATGCTCTATGGTGGGAGCAGGGAGAGAGATGACCACTTTACCAGGTCCACTCCTGGGCCATAGGTGAGGCTCCTCTTATCACTGACACCTCAACTGCATTTCCCTTGTTAGGTGTCTTGGGTTGCAGGGCTCCCTCAATCAGAGGCCATGGCTGGCAGACAGGCCACACCCTTCCCAAACCAGCACTGTGGAGGAAAGCACATCCCATTCCTGCACCAGCGCACGAACGCACATGTCTCACTCCTCTCAGTGTTCTGAAAGATTTCTCCCCCACTTGAGTGCCAGCCACAGCTCTTAGCTTGGCAGCCCCAAGCTGTGTGCTATAGCTCTGTGGCACTGGGACCAGCCTATGGCTCCATCGTCTGAACCCTCAGTGTGAGGTACTGGCTGTGCTGGGGAATCTGAAATGCTCCCAGGCTGCCAGGAAGGTACTCAGGTGGAGCCACCAGGAAAACACCCAGGCTGGGCAGCAAAGGCTGCACTGTGCACACATTCCTGCAGGGCAGCTTGGCAGAGGCCCTGGAAGGGGTTGTAGGGGAGGAGGGCCTGCAGAACCGATGTTCCTCTGTCCCACAGGGAAGCTGGCCCACTCGTTCCGGCCCTAGCAGTCAGGTGGGGCTAGTCCTGCCCCGAGGGAAATAAGAAGTCTTGGAGATGGGCGCCTGTGGCCACCTTCTGCTGCAGCTGTCCTGCGTGTGAAAACTCCTGGGCTCTGTGCATTCTGGAGCTCTGTCTCTGCCTGCTGTCTGGGCAGATCCTCCTGCCAGTTGAAATGTCTCTGGAGGAAATGAGATCCCTTATAGCTAGGATCTTGGAGGTCCATAGTGAGAATGGGCTGCCTCATCGTCCCTTCACTCACCCCTTCCTAGGAGCCTTTCAAGACCAGGAACCAGCCCTGGCATTCGGCAATCCCTGCAAGGTTCCCAGCTTCCTCCCTCTTCAGCCTCGGTTTGCATCACCTTTATCAACTCTTCGTGCTTTTTTCCAAAGATCTGCTCAAAATGTTGGCTTACTCAATATTTTGGTCTTTATCAGTGGCAGTGGTGCTTCTTGGCCGTGTCTAGTTGGCCATCTTGTCCTTCTACTAAAAATTATTTAAAAAAATAGTTTTATTGATAACCTTCCTTTGAACTATAGTTAATGTTAAGAGTTAATAAGTAACATATGTTGAGTGCCCATGAATGTATTTACCTCAGATATAAAAGTCCCACCGAGGTGGCCGGTTAGCTCAGTTGGTTAGAATGTGGTGCTAATAAAAGTCCTGTAGATTTTTAAAATATGATATTCACTCAGCACTTATTTGCCCAGTTAACAGTGGAATCAAAATTTTGTTTAGCTGCTAACATTTACTTATACTTGGAGAAATGATGATGATATCCCAAGAGCTTTTAGTATTACTTTAATGAATACTTAGTACTAACTATATGCTCTACATGTGTCATGTAGAGGGTGGCACATGGTGATGATTTCATGACATATAGGTATTCAAGCATTGTCTGAAATGTTCTCTGGGAGGATTTCTGGAAAATACTCCAATTCCAAATAGTTGTCTGCAACCATGAAGTCTCCTCTGGCATGAATGAAGAGGAGGAACAGGAAGAGGTTTAAGTCAGGACTTGCCTCTTGCCTTTATTAATTTGCTATTTCAGTTAAGTTTAAAGAAAACTACATGACTGAAGGGTACTGCCCTTCCCCTTTCCTTCATGGTGGCCATTTTAAGGGACTTTGCTAGTTTTTGTTGAATTGCTTGAAGGTGTTTCTCTTAGGCCTATCACCCCTTTCATTTATTTTTTTTATTTTAAAAATTGTTAATTGTGGCAAAAAATATGAAATTAACCATTATTAAGTGTACAGTTCAGCAGTGCTAAATATATCCATATTAAGCAGATCTTCAGCACTGTCTCATGTTGCAAAACTGAAAATCTGTATCCCTGAAATAACAAGTCTCCATTTCTCCTTCTTCATCTCCTGGTAACTATCATTCCACTTTCTCTTTCTATGAATCAGCTACTCTAGGTACTTCATATAAGTAGAATCATATAGTATTTGCCTTTTTGTGACTGGTTTATTTCACATAGCATAAGTTCCTCAAGGTTTATCTACGCTGAAACCTGTGACTTACGCCTTTTATTGTTAGCTTTGGCTGCTGCTGCCATGTTCCCTGTATTTCAGCTGTGGTTTAAAACAGCTTGAGAAGACTCAGCTCAGGCTGCCAAGAAAAATGGCAGCAAGAGATCAGTCTACCTGTTAAGTACTAATAGGTTGCTTCCAGGAAGGAAGTGAGCAGTTATTAACTAATTTGTTTATTCCAAAACATCTAGATATACATGCGGTTATATGTTATAGTTAAAAATTTGTATACTGGTCATGTTAACTGCAAAGACAAACTATTAGCAAATCATCTGTTACACTTCATTTGGATTTGTCTCTGGTTTATTTAAGTTCTGCCTTTGATAGTAGCAGAAAATGAATCAGTAAATGATAATGAATTTGTATTTCTTAAGGCATCCATTTCTCACCAGAGATGGTTAATTTAGCTAACATTTGGAAGTGCTAATACCACCAACAAAGCCTAGCATTAAATGATTTCTTCTTTTAATGTCTTAAACACAAATAAAAAATTACAAACAAATTTGCTTTGTTTTCTGAATACTTATAGAATACTTAAGAATCAGTTTTATGTTATCCTGATAAAATTATATAATTGGGCTCATCTGAGGTTGTTTTCATTCTTTTCAATTATTAGTTAATATCTGATATTTCTATTTATTCTCACCATGCATATATATAATCTGTAGCTCCGTAGCACGGGAACTCTTGAAATACTACATACATATATTTTTTAATCCAAAAAACTGTTTGAAAGCTTGTTTTGCTAGGTTGTTTTTTGCATGAGTGTGAGAGTAGCTAGCTATTCTAGCATTAAATGGGTAATGGGAAATAAAAATTATAGCTGTTTCTGAGTTAGATCTCCATGTGGCGTCATTATTTTTTGGCTGTGAATTTCCAGAAGAGTAGATAACAACAGTAATACAATGTAAATGAAAAAACCTGCTCAAAAACCAAATATAAAATGACTTGAGGAATTTTTTTTTCTGGCTTACCTGTACTTTGTTTCTCTTTATTAATGTTAGTGAAGGAAATTTATGTGGTTTATATTGTAGATACATGCACACACACACAGCAGGATAAATTTTTATTTTAATGCTCACTAAGAATTTAATTGGACTTATATATTTCACAGTTATAAAGGAAATAGAAAAATAAAGTCTACCCCATGTGAAATGACTCTCACTGGTATTGTTTTGCCCATAAGAACTTTTGTCTTGTTTCAGTGAAGCATGAAACAATCACTAATACAACATTTGTATCTCATTTCAGGATGACGATGATGATCCTTTCACGAACACTAGTTCTTTAAGAAGAAAAAGAAGATAATATATTTAATGGCACTGAAAACCATGTGAGATACAGGAAAAATCAAAGCATTGCAAGCTAAGAGTTTACAGTTTAAGATTTTAAATATTGTTTCCTGAGCATGACTCCATAAGTGAGAAATTTCTATCTCAAGGACATATACAATAGCATTGATTCACCCTTTTTTTTAACCTGGTTGTTATAGTAAGAGCTTTGTTTCAATACCATTCTTGAGTAAAGATTACAATAAATCTACCATTTACATTTCTGCTTCATGATCAGAAACTATATCAGTATTTTAATATGGTTACATTTAGCCAAAGTTGAGGGAAAGAGCTTATAAAATTTAACTAACTTCTTGATAATTTTAGTAATTTCTTAGAGGCTCTGAATTTCCTGAAAGTAAAGCAATCTATGTGAACCTGTGCCTAAATTCACTGTTACTATGTATATGTTTCTTTCGAATGCTTCTTATAAGTCTAAATGATTAGAAGTACCTAATAGTTTGAATAGATATGTTTTTATTAAAAAGAGTAAAATAACCTATCAGAATTACTTAGTTTTTTATTCGATTTATAGCAAAGATTTCAAAAGATTATGTTCTCATTGAGTGGTAGTAATTTCCTTTATTATTCTGTATCCTTAATGGTGTTCTCTCTCTCCTTCTCTGCCCACTTCCCCCTCTCTCCTTTTCTCCCTTTCTTTTTCTTGTTTCATACATATGTGTGTGCCTATTTCTAGGAGAAAAAGAGTCAAAAGTTGTTTTAAAATACATCTTCTTGAAAAGATTAAAGAATTTTTTTAGGTAGAGTGGTCAGTTGAATCTTACAGTAAAGTATTGAGATATATCTAATGTAGAATATCAATGCCAGGATTACTCATTAACAATATTTTATCTTAACTTTGGTTCCCATGAAACATTTCTGAATGGGCAGTTCTGGAAATATTAGTAACTCATGTTAGGTTTTTCTTTTTTTACTTGTTTTCAGTGAGAAATAAGAATTAGACATCTTCAGATTTAAGTTAAATAATCCCATTCTTTTCTTTAATACTTTGTAAAAAGATCCCTGAGTTATTCCTTCTTTTAGTCTTACGTGACAGCTTCACTTAAAAACTCTTCAAGGAAGTTATACATCTTGGGAGTACAACAGCCTGACATTTATTCATAGGTAGAAATACTTGATTCAAATACTTGATTCAGTGATACTCCATGACCATTAGAATAGTGATACCTGGAATGTGTCAAATTATAAGAGACAGACATTTGGTTAGGGCTGCTTCATGTTATAGCACCTTTGAAGAGGCCTGAGTCAAAAATTGCAATGTAACAGTCTAATGACTTTCTTAAAAGTATTTCTGTACCTAACTTGAGCATAAGGGTTATTTGAGCAAGTAACATTAACTCAGTGGAAGGCATTGTCCTGTGAAATATTCTCAGGCAGATCTGCCCACATCTTTGTTGCACTTGAAATCTAATATTTCTAGTATTTGAACAAAGCAAGGGTTGAGTCAGGAGTGAGCAGTGCTGTCCATGATGGAATGGAAGTTACTAGGGGTGGCAGTGTCTGGGTGATGCTGTGGCTCCTACCCCTGCACAAGGCACACTGGCTCTGAGTGAGCTGTGTGCCACATCAGCTAGTGGCTTTTCTTATGCATCAGTTAGATGGGTCTGGATGAGAGTAATAGTGAGGGGTTAGTCACCAAAGTATCCTGATAAGTTCCTAGGAAAAAAGGAATAAAGCTTTTTCCCCTTTAAAAAAAAATTGCTCTTTGCTCTGAAAAGAGGTACTAAATGCAATTTAGCTCACCACTAAGGAAAGTGATGCCACAGCAGTTACAGAGGGTGAAAATCCCTCCAGCTAATTCAGATCATTTTGTGAATAGTATGTATCAAGCCCTCAAAATAGGATAAGTAAAATGTGACAGGGAAACCTTTTTTTGATTGAATATTGTTACATAGTTAAAATGTGCTATAAATCGTTAATATTTTATATTGATGCTGCAAAATCTGTTAGTTTTGTTTTTTGTTTCTAACAATTTTCAGACCTGCTAGTATAGGAGTGTAGAGGTCTTTTAGATGATTTGAAAGCACCTGCATTTGCTCTTGGAGGCTGTGGGAGACTTGCAGGGATGAAAACATTCAGAGGAAAACATCTATAGGGAATTCTTCTGTCACTTAGCAAAGAATAAATATCTTTCTGGTGTTTTGTTTCCTATCATAAAAACACAACAGTGCATTTACAAGATTAAAAATTCCTCAAAGTTATAGGAAATTCTAGAAAATATAACTGGTGCTTAGAAAATTCAAGCATTTAGGAGTGTAACCTTTAGTTCAGGTATAAGAAGACTTTTTCCCCTAAACTTTTAATAGTAGGAAATACAAGAAATACAGAAAAGTCACATGGTTTAACAAATAATTATAAAGTGAGCATTGATGGAATCCTAATACAGGTCAGGAAATAAAATAGCAGTGTCCTGCAAGCCCATTAAATTGTTTTCTCCTTTCTGGGTTATCAGCCCTGACTTCTATAATTTAAAAGCTCCTACTTTTGCCACAAGGTGGTGCTTCTGCCATTAGATGCAGTTAGGAGGATGCAACTGCAAATCTAAAATTAGGAAGTTAGTATGGTTGCAATACATTTAGAACCTATGCATTCATACTAAACCTATGCAGTAATACCATAATTAGCCTTCTAATCATGTAAATTCATTTACTTATGTATTTCATCTTGTTCAGCCTGTTATGGAATTTACCAGCTTGATAAATTTTGCATATAAAGGTTTATAAAGGAACATTTTATGTTTTCATAAAGAGAAAAATACATTTTTAGAAAAAAATGAGTTAAAAAAAAATTTCAATGGGCTGGGTGCGGTGGCTCACACCTGTAATCCCAGCACTTTGGGAGGCTGAGACGGGTGGATCACCTGAGGTCAGGAGTTCGAGACCAGCCTGGCCAACATGGTAAAACCTCGTCTCTACTAAAAATACAAAAAATTTGTCAGGCATGGTGGCATGTACCTGTAATCCTTGCTCCTTGGGAGGCTGAGGCAGGAGAATCAGTTGAACGCAGGAGGTGGAGGTTGCAGTGAGCTGAGATAGCACCACTGCACTCCAGCCTGGGCAACAAGAGCGAAACTCAGTCTCAAAAAAAAAAAAAAAAAAGTATCTCAATGTAAAATATTTTCTTTGGAAACATAGATTTTAAAAGCAACTTTCCCCCGAAGTAATCTGATGTCTTTTTTGTATCTGTCATACATTTAATTCGTAGTATTTTGTAGTTTGTGTTTTTTAAAAGCTAACTATCATTAAGATTATTATAGAAGTTTGGTATAATAAAGATTTGGGTTTTTCAGTCCAATGAGTTTCCATATTGAATGAAAAGGATTCACATTTCATCATTTGCTTGTCTCATTTTCTTTTAGTACTTTTGAACTTAGTTTGGTCAGAAAATACTAGAATTTTAGTTTGAGCTAAAGAGCAAGCTTACATAACTTGCTATTGCCATATACATTTGTATGTCTGCTGTATCAGATAACTGGATCTGATTTTAGCACTTTTTAAGTTGTGAAAGCAATGCATTTTTATTCTTCAAATTCAGACATTGAGTACCTATCAAAATGTGTATGCTTACCTGTCATCCTCTCCCCAGATACAACCTATCAACAATTAGGGACATGTTTCTCCAATTACTGTTGGCACAACTACTAAGAAAAATTGTTGAATTAGAACCCCACATTGTATAGCTACATATGTTCTCCTTGGGACTTACCTTGACATTCCAATTTTTCTACATATGGTTCATCATCCTCTTAATTAAACCATCTTTGTCTATTTTGAGAGGTAACTGCACCGCTTTCCAGTGTGTGTTTTAAATGTTACTGTTCAGTTTTAGTCAAAGGATATTTAATCTGTGGTGCCTTGACATTAAAAGTGGTAAAGTGATTTTTTAAAGGGCGCTTGGCTGGTTATTGCACATTATGTTTGATTAACAAAAGAGGTTCAATGGGTATTAGGCTGATTGGGCAATACAAACTTTGTTCTGCCTCCGAGCCACTGTGTAGTCGAGTTGGTTCATGTACAAATACCCAAAACTAGTGCATAAGTACCCTTGATCACAGTGCCTATTTAGTATCAATACCAACTGTTTCGTGTTTACATTTTATGTAAAAATCAAAAATTTCTGCATATAAGCCTATAAATATAAGTGCAGTCTACCTGTTAGTGCATTTGAACTGATTGCATGGTACATCTGACTTTGAGTACATTTTGCTAGAGGCAAAAGGCCATTGCTTAATAGGATGGGAGGCACACCTGCATTTCCATTGGTTCTTGGATAGTCTGTAAATGAAGCTATCTATTTTACACTCATTAAAGTATTTTACCATAAACAATGAGATAAATAAGTAAACCCATCATAGATATACCAGAAAGTTTCTAGTGGTTTTTCATTCCAGTATTGATTTCTGAAGTTTTTAGTAGTTTTACGTCCAGGTCATATTTTAAAAACTGAAATAGTATCAACTTTACAGAAATTTGCAAGAATAGGCTAAGTGTGGTAGCTTACACCTGTAATCCCAGCACTTTGGGAGGCCAAGGCAGGCAGATCATGAGATCAGGAGATTGAGACCATCCTGGCCATGGTGAAACCCCGTCTGTACTAAAATACAAAAAATTAGCCATTCATGGTGGCGTGCACCTGTAGTCCCAGTTACTCAAGAGGCTGAGGCAGGATAATTGCTTGATTCTGGAAGATGAGGTTGCAGTGAGCCGAGATCGTACCACTGCACTCCAGCCTGGTGAAAGAGCAAGACTCTCAAAAAAAAAAAAAAAAAAAGGTTTTATGCTACATTTATTCTTTTTGTCTGAAGATTATGTCTTACAAACTGTTCCATATCATTTTATGGAGATCTTTACTTTTTTATAGCCTCATGGTACTCCATGGAGTTTAAATGCCATAGTTTATTCTATCCTATACTTGTGCCTTTTGGTGGTTCTGATATTTACAATTACAAATAATACTGCAATACTATTACCAGTATTTTAAAAAGTTTTGGAAGTGTTATCTTCAGAGTAAATTCCTGGTAGTGTGATTATTCGATAAACAAGTAAATTCACGTGTAGATTTGTTAAGTGCTGCCAAGTTCCTTTATATAAAGATCGTATTCCCAGCAGCAGTGTGTGGCCTACCTATTTCTCTGTAGCCTCCCCATCAGAAGAATGTATGTCATCAAATTTTTGATTGTTTTCCAAACTGATGGACTAGAAATGGCATCTTAGTGTAATTTTAATTTGCATTTCTCTTATTATGAATTAAGGTGAATTTGTAAAAATATGTTTAAGGGCCATTTTTACATCCATTTTTGGTGAATTGCTTGTTCATATATCTTATTTTTCTAGGATGTCTGGTCCCCTTTTTCTTCACTCAATATGAAAAATATTTTTAAATATTAGATATTAACCCTTTGTCTATAACATATTGCAAAAATTTTTTCCAGCTTCTTATTTGTATTTTTATTTTGCTTATGGTGTTTTTTTTTGTTTTTTTTGTTTTTTTTGTTTTTTTTTGCAATGCAACAGTTTGTTTTGAATATAGTCAAATTTATCTGGTCTTGCATCTGGATTTGGTTTTGGTTGTATAAATGGTATCTAATTGAACAGAGGTTCTTTTAAGAAACGTTGCTTTTTTTATAATTGCATAATTGGACTTTGTGAAGTCCAACTTACATTGATTCAGGCTTAACATTTTTATATTGTGTTCAAGAAAAGCATTTCCTATCCTAAGGTCATGTAGCTTCTTCCATGCTATCTTCCAGAACTTTATGTTTTGCCTTTCCAATTCAACTCTACAATCCAGCTGGGAATTGATTTTTATGCTCTTAATTGCTGTTGGGCTATTTTTTTCTGTTTTGTTTCTGCTGTGTGCTTTGTTTCAAATCAGATCCTCTGAACATGAAAGAAAATAATTATTTGTTAACTGAAGCCGTTGATTAATATTGCGTCTTACAGAGGGGGAAATGATGATTCAAGTAGGTTGTTTTTGTTTTAACAACAATATCATGTAAAAATGTCTTTAAGGATATTTCTAGAAAACATCACCAGATCAGCAACTCATTTTCACAGGAGGCAAGCAATAGCTATCATTGATCTTACTTGCTTTCTAAAAATGCTTCTAATA